TTGGACAATGTGCAGTACACCCAGTTTCATACTGTATTAACTACGGAGTTATTACTGAATTCTATTCAGACCTGTATAATCGCCCATCCCAATGACCGATTAGCGAGGACGGTGAGGAAAATTGGAATCTCGTTATACGTTTCTGCATGTATGTAAATGCAATAAAAGCACATATTGTGACGACCCATGATGTTAGTTTGTTTGTTTGTGTGTGTATGTCTGTGTGTGTTTGTATGCGTGTTTGTGTGCGTATTTGCGTCTGTCCGGATATTTCAACTCGACAGCCAAGCAAGATTCGACGCTGAAATTTTGCCAGTGGCTTCCCTGACCAAGTGCTAGTGCCAACCCAGGACCAAGTTATACAAGTCTAAGCCCTACGCACGAGCACGCAAAAATTTTGGCGAGAAAACAACTAACTCGGAAACCAGAATAGCTGGAAGGCTGAAATTTTAAGGGTATATCTCCTGCCCACGTACAACTTAAAGATTGTAAGTTCGATCCCCAGGCACACGTGGCACTCATGTGTGGGCACGTGAAGTTCTGAAAAGGGGGGAGGGGGGGGGAGGAGGGGAAGAAACTGCTGACTCGGGAACTGACGAAGCTAGGAAGCTGAAATTTAAAGATGTTTCCCGTCCACATACAACCTAAAAATTTCAAATTTAGCCTCAGGTATGTGTGGTCCTCACGTACGGGCACGTGAAAATTTTAGTAGGAAAATTGCTGTTGATCAGCTGGGTTAATTTCAAAAGACGGTCGTTTGACAAACCTATTCATTTTCCTTTATACAAAATTTACGCTGATTTACATTAATGAATAAATAAATACAAATAAAAGTAAAAAAACATTTATACAGTCAATAACCCAATTGTTTAAAGTTTAATGCAAAAACGCACGGTCACACCAGCAAGCCTGGTGCATTTCAGCCTAGGATTTTTTTGGAGGAAATGCCTTTTCATAACTTCTTGATCAAAGATTCTCACTGTTCTCAGTATGCACAATGCTCAGAGGTTAATTCGTTTCAAGATAATGAAATTTACAACTTTAACATTTTACAAAGTATAGAAGGCGTGTATGAGAAGCCTAAATTGGATAAATTTACCGCCTTCAGAACGAGCGAAAAGGAAATTATACAGAGCCGCCCTGAGGCCACCTAGATGCAAATTACCAGTTGGCGAAGGAGCAAAGCTTAAACGAACCTTTTCAATTTTACAAATTTTTACATTACTTCTGGATACCTAACTTATATGGTGGATCTACGGAATTCGAACATGCGAAGTAGTGTGATGGTGATTTGTCTACAACATACATAGCGACGATTTAGGATGCACAATCGAGTAATAATGGAGTCGATGACTATTAACGAATCACAACGAAGATTCCTTAGCGAGCTGAGAAAGCAGTCCGAATTAATTAGGCAGCTCACTAAACTTGCAAGCGATTTTGAATGGGTTACTAAACAGCCAAGTGTGCTGAGAATGTCCCTTTACCCTCTTTGCTAAACTTGCAAGCGATTTTGAATGGGTTACTAAACAGCCAAGTGCGCTGAGAATGTCCCTTTACCCTCTTTGCTATACTGTCTTTTCATATGACAGAAGCAGTTATGCAAACTTTGCAAGCAAAGGATGCTTTGTGGGACCTCTATGATAATGCTGCGCCTCTAGGATTGTACAGAAGGATGCCCGAAGAGCTGGGAATTAATGAGTTGCGGTGACCAGGGAAGATCCAGTCGAAATGTGAATTCTCGAACGTTTCCCGATCAGCCTTCTATTTGGGCGTAATGCGCAGTGATAACACACTGTGTTTACAGTTAGAACAGTTTTATTTTCCCAATTTGGAATAGGGTCCTAGATCCTCGGGGAGATATCTGTGAAATACTTTTTTTTTTTATGTTTTGATGTTGGAAGCATTCACTTCAACTATTTCTTAAAGAGATCTTGACAGAGTCTTCCAACTTTATATTTTATACTTTTAATGTCTGGCGTCATTTTAAACT